CACTCACACACACACACACACACACATATACACACACACACATCACACACACAACATACCCCCATACACACCAGGTACAACCACACACATATATAATACACACACAAAGCCGCACATGCAGCCACACATACACACCTACAACCACACACATAGCCACGCACACACACACACACCCATATAACACACACACAAAGCCACACATGCAGCCATACACACACCCACAACCACATACATAGCCACACACACACACACACACACACACACGGAGCAATAACCCTGTGTGTCCTTCTGTTTATCCTCTCCCTGACTTTTCCCACATTCTGAAATGAACTTTCCTTTCTGGTTCTTCGCAGCATTTCCCTTTGGAATATAAACTTCTCGTTCTCAGGGACTTCTGTCTGTCTTGTTTGTTGCTGTTATCACCAATACCTAGTAGGTGTTGAATCCATTCATCTGTTGATAAGTAAATTGTTGCTGAATATTGAAAACCTGGATCGTAAGAACGACTGAATCAGGAAGGGGAAGTCGACTCAGAGGAGGAGTCCACACAGGACTCCGTCTGTCCTTGGCTCCCAGAGAAGAGGGAGCACGTCTCTGTCTTCTGCTCTTATCTGGGCGCTGCCTGTCCTCCCTGCCCCAGCTTAGGACAAAGGGCAGATAAGGTCAGTTCGGGGGGTATGCCAATTTCTCTGCAGCTGGGACAGTAAAGGCAGCAGCAGCTCTGGGGGTTTGAGCATCTCAGGGGTTTTACTTGGGTTTTCCTGGGGCACAGTCAGTTGGAGGGGCTCATTAGCTGTGGGTTCAAGGAAAAGTTTTCCTACCTCAGGCTTCATTCAGAGTGGACCCTCTCATGTATCTTGTCTTTATGGTGATTCTCAGCAAGACACCCACTCTAAACAGGAAGGACATCTGATACAACATTCTCCTTTGCAGTGAGTTTTTCTGCCTGCCTTGGACTATGAGCTAATGGTTTTGGAATTTATATCGCTTGGAACAGAGTAACGAAGCTATTATATATTTGAGCAACTTGATTAATGTCTATCTTTCACTCCGGACTATATGTTCCACGAAAACGTTGACTTTGATTTGCTCACTGCTCTGCCCCGGGACCCTGCACTGTGTCCAGCAAATAATCTGCATTCAAGAAGTGCTTCTTGGCTGAATGCAATGGAATGATCTCTGAGACTCAGGATAATGTGCCTGGCTTCCTATACCACTCAAAATATTTCCTTCCTTCCCACTGACACATCAGACATTATCATTCCAAGCGATAAAAAGTACAGGACTTTTCTTTTCCCTGGGTGTTCACACCTGCCCAGGAGTTGAAGAAGATAATGACCTCTTTTAGATTTAAAGGTCTCTGGTATGCTAATGCCGAATGCCTCATAGAAGGGAGGGGTAAAGTTTTGACAATGAATTATTTCTGAAATAGGCATTTATCACCTCTCCTATGAAATGATGCAAATAGGAACTTTGAAGGAAGATTAGCTGCAAAGAATGGTGAATACTATGTAGACCTTGACCTTGTTCTGCACATTAGATGCTTTTCTGATGAAGCAGTAGGTAGTGAATATGTATATGGCAAATTCCATTTTCTCATTGACTTCCATTATTATCTCAAGAAATATTTTGCCTAGGGGAAAGAAAAAAAACAACTGGCCCCAACACAGAAAATCACATTTTAAAGAACATTCAGCTTTTGCTGCTGTGTCGCTTAAGTACATTTAATTCTCTCCTGCCAGAGGAATTAATCAAATGGACAATTGATCCATACAACCTCTGCACATTCATTAAAAGCACGACCGCATCACAGTACGTCCGACTGATTATGCCTGTTTCTTTGGAATTTCCCACTGTCTGGATGGGACTTGAATATATAAGTAGGCACAATGGCTCAGCCATTGTCGCAGGACTTTGGCACGATTCTAAGTTGAAGAACTAAATGGAGATGCCTTCTAAGGCTGAACAAAAGCCATTCTCATAAGCTGTTTCTTAACCTTAGGATGATCTCCTCCCCCTGCTCCCCTTCCCTCACCTTCGCACACAAGCGCCCCTTCCACTATATAAGCACTGTTTTAATCAACTGCTTATCAATTTTGAGCACCTCTTAATGTCTCAGGGACTATTACAAGTTGGTGAGAGAGAACTGATGCCAGAGTCTTTGAGGGTGATCTGCTAGATAGGACGCAACTAGCAAAGTCATACACCTTCTTTTTAAGTTTTTGTTTTATCGAAGTAGAGTTGATTTACAGTGTTACATTACTTTCAGGTATACAGCATAGTGATTCACTGTTTCTACAGACGATACTCCACTTAAAGTTATTACAAAGTATTAGTTATATTCCTGTCCTGTGCATTACCTCCTTGTATCTTTGTTTATTTATACCTAGTAGTTTGTACCTCTTAATCCCCTTGCCTTGTCTTGTTCCTCTCTCCCACCCTCTCCTGCTAGTAACCACTGGTTTGTTCTCTGTGTCTCTTAGTCTGTTTCTGTTTTGCTATATTCATTCATTATATTTTTTGGATTCCACATATAAGTGAAAGCATATGGTATTTGTCTTTCTCTGTCTGACTTAACTTCACTAAGCATAATAGCCTCCAGGATCATCCATGTTGTTGCAAATGGCAAAATTTCAGTTTTTTAAAAGCTTTCGTACAATGAAAGAAGCCATCAACAAAACAAAAAGCCTACTAAATGGGAAAAGATATTTGCAAATGATATGTCTGGTAAAGGGTTAATATCCAAAATATATAAAAAAGCTCTCAGAACTCTGTTATCAAAAAACAGCCAGCCTGATTTTAAAATGGGCAACAGACCTGAATAGACATTTTTTCCAAAGAAGACATACAGATGGCCAACAAGCACATGAAAAAAATGCTCAGCATCACTAAGCATCAGGGAAATCCAAATCAAAACCACAGTGAGAGACTACCTCACTCTTGTTAGGATGCCTGTCATCAAGAAGACAGCAGATAATAAATGTTGGCAGGGATGTGGAGAAAAGGGAACCCTAGTTCACTGTTGGTGAGAATGTAAGCATGTAGCCACTGTGGAAGACAGTATGCAGGTTCCTCAAAACATTGAAAATAGAATTACCATATGATCTAGCAATTCAAGTTTTTATCTGATATTTTTATGGAAAAACTTTGTAATCTGTAAGCAAAGGAAATAAAAGTTACCTGGACATCAGTCTGTTTCCTTCTGATGTAGATTTTGAAAAAATGAAATTGCAATCATATGCTGCAGATAAAATATCATAGACTTTTAATGTAACGTTATAACGTGTGTATTCTCTAAATATTCTT